TCTTTAAGTAGGAAAGGGATGTGGAGTGTGGTTTCTTCCTTCTGCTACTGCTTTGGAAGAGTGCTCTGGTTATGGGTGAATTCACTTTAGGTAGACTTAGAACTTAGCACTAGAGGAGGGAGTTTTATTTATGTTACTCAAATTACTCCATTGAATGAGTTTTTCCCCTAGTATCAAATCCAAGAGTCAAATTTGAATTCCACAAAGGGGGTTAATAAAGTCTTAATTTTTTTGTTATTTACCTGAAGAGTTTGGCTTCAAGGAAAATAAGCATTTTACTACATGTGAAACAAAACAAATCTTTTCCATTCACTTTTTTTTTTTTTTTAAGATGACCGGTAAGAGGATCTTAACCCTTGACTTGGTGTTGTCAGCACCACGCTCTCCCAAGTGGGCCATGGGCTGGCCCTTCCATTCACTGTTAAATTACTATAGAATATTCCTTCTCTTTATCTCTTTTTTATGTTATTATTAAGGTATACATACAGGAAAATTCTGTACGTACAAGAAAATGCATCTATCATGAACATACACCCTAATGAACATATGTCAAACTGAACACACCTGTGTTACTGGCACCAAGCTCAAGAACCAGAACATAAGTGGCCCAGTAAGAAGTCTCACTCGGCTCCTTTTGGTCCCTACTCCCCAACCCTCTCAAAGTTAGCCACCATCTTGGCTTCTAACATCATAGGTGACTTTTCTTTTTTCTTTTCTTCTTTTTTTTTTTTTTGGCAGTTGGCCAGTACAGGGATGGAACCCTGGACCTTAGTGTATCAGCACCATGCACTAACCAACTGAGCAACTGGCCGGTCCCTGTAGGTGACTGTTACCTGTTTCTGTTTTTTGTATAAATAAAAACTCAGCTGTTTTTGCATCTGGCTGCCTCTGCTCAGCATTTTGTTTGTGAGATTTATCTAGATCAATACAGTTTTTTTTTTTTTTTTTTTAAAGATGACCAGTAAAGGGATCTCAACCCTTGACTTGATGTTGTTAGCACCACGCTCAGCCAGTGAGCTAACCGACCATCCCTATATAGGATCCAAACCCATGGCCTTGGTGTTATCAGCACCACACTCTCCCGAGTGAGACACGGGCCGGCTCTTAGATTAATACAGTTTTGAAAAACAAAAACGCAAGTCCTCTTCAGGGAACAATTTAGATTAGGGGAGGTGCTTTTGTTCTTTGGGTTTTTTTGATTGAGGTATAATTTGCATACAGTGAAATGTCACATTAGGTGTATGGTTTGATCAGTTTTAACACAAGAGTCAGTCACACCCCTGTGAAGACACAGAACATGTTCACCCATTACCTCAGAGGGTTCCCTTGTGCCCCCTTCTCTGTCAGGTGTGAGACTTGTTTGCAGGTGTGAGTGTGAGCATTTTCTTAAGTTCTGTGTTTTATGTTATTGACTTATCAGAAAGGCTGTTTCCTATTTGCACGTTGTGGTTCTGGTTTGGCTTTTGGCTGTATGGAGCAAAGACCCACTTCAGCCAGCTAGAGAAGGAGTTTCGATAGTGGGAGAACATGTGGTATGATGGGAATTGCACAGAATTCCAGGAATTTGAACTGGAGGGTGAGCTCCAAGAGCCTAGCGTTGGATAGTGGTTCCTGGCAGCTCTGAGGGCCTTGGCAGCAGTTGTCCCTAGCTTGCCCCCATGGGACCCTGCATCCCTCCGTATGCTAGAGCCTTTCTTTCCTTCCGCCAGCTTTGCACTCTCCTGGTTTTCCCTCGCCTGTGGCCTCAGCTCACATGCTTTCTCGGCTGGCCAGAAGCCTTCTAGCCCCAGTTCAATTTTGTGACATTTCTTGTCGCATTCTTTTAGTTTCTAACTGACCAATTCTTGTCACATTTCGTAGGTCACATTCTTGAGAGAACCTTGATCTGTTTCATTTCCACCCAGGACCTAGGATACAGGTTACTGGCCAGCCTGTGGATTGTCTGTCCTGGGTGGGTTGCCTGACCCTGGTTCACCTAGCTGGGCTGGTGGAGTTGGGGGAAGAGGTGTGGGGGTTCATGTGGTGGAAAGCAGAGTGTCTGCCCCACTGCCTGGGGGACTGCAGGCAGAGGGTGAGGTGGGACATGCACCATGATGGGGAGTTATGTTTTCCAAAACATTAAGTATTGTTTAAAAAGCTGGATGGGACTGGCTGGATAGAGCAGTTGGTTAGAGTGCAGCCTAGTTTTATACATAATGTGCATACAATGCAAAAGTATAAATTAGTTTTAAACAATGCATAAAACTTTGTGGAAAGGTTTCTAAACGGCATGATTTTTATTCTAATTCAATGAATTTAATTTAAAAATATTTAGAAAACTATAAGAAAGAAATGAAACCACTTATAATGGGGATGTTCCTATAATCCTCATTGCCAATATCCAGGAAAAAAGAAGACTTATTAAATTTTTGGTGTACTTCTTTTTTTTTCTTTGTGAAGATATACATAAAGAGAGAGAACTAACAAAACTGAAGTCACACTACATAAACAATTTTTCTCTCTGTTTCTTTCATTCAACATTACACATTATATAGTAAGCATATCTTTCAAAAGTATTTGCATCATTTTATAGCATCTTATATAGCATCCTATACTATGTACTTACCCAACCCTATAATGTTGGACATATAAGGTGTTTAAAAATTTCTAATATTATACATAAGACAGTCACAATGGTCTGCTGCTACCTCCCATCCCCCGCCCCCCCAAAAAAACCCAAAAAAGGCTGGATGCAACTCTGATAGTCTGAGGGAAAGACTGATCTCCAGATGTTAGATTTAATAAAGAGGTATTTTGATTGTCTAATGTTCAAACTTCGTCATTTCTCTTGCTTTATTATTTTCAAAATTGTGAAGTTTGCCTTGGCAATTGTATGGATTTACAGAAGAACTCAAAATTCACTGAGCTGCTCCCAATCTTTTAAAATTATTTTTAAACTTCTTTTGTTTTCAGGCAGTGGTTAATTTTCTCTTGAATTGTCAGAAAATATTTTTAAATCTGAAAATGAAATGTTATCTTTTTCCTTCTGAAACTAGAATGTTTAAGTTATTAGTGATTTTGTATGATGCCATTTGTCCCTTTTTCTAACTGTAATTGTATGGTATACAATCCTTAGTATTTTTTTTTTTTGTCATTGAGGAAAAACAGTAGTAGAGTTACTCTGAAAATGATCTTGTCAGTTCATCATTCAGAGTGAGGAAAGAGGTAAACAGTTAAGGTGAGGACAGAACTATAGCTTCAACTGATGTATTTGTAAGAACCTCAAAAAGTATATAGTACTTGATGCATCAAGAGATTGGCAGGTGGTGGGTGTGCAGTGATGGATGGGTGGATCTGAGTCCTGACTTATGTGGGTTCTGGGAGGAGAGAGACTGGGAGAAAATGCCACTCACTCAACTTAATGCCCCTGTTTGCTTTAATCAGTAGTTTAATTGTAATTTGGTATTGCCAGAGAATTGTTTAGGTAGAAGTTACCCACTGTACCTAGGTACACAGTGAGAATCAAGTATGTTAATTGCATTTTAAATGATTTAATGAAAATTTACCATTTCTTTTGGGGTTGATAGCATTAAAAAATCATGTTAAAGTTCCCATTAACTCATTTGAATTAAAAAATGGTATTTAACCAAGCAAAATTGAAGTGAAGGTTTTTCAGTAGGTATTTGCAGCATTTTGGTAGTGGTCTTTGTTTTAGAT